GTTTCCTGTCCATAAGCCAGCAAGGCGCGGATGTGCGATCCACGTCATGGGGTGACCGTTACCAGCGTTGCGGGCTGCACCTGTCAGTAACGGACACAGCTCCTCTATATAGGCAGAGCCCTTTTTCCTCCTCGGGGTCTTCCCTCAACTTGCTATAATGAGCCACGCAATAAACATAGCTGCAGAAGAATCCTGTTGTTGAGCGTCGTTCTTGCAGGCAAGGCGATAGCGCCCGACAAAGCAGGAAGGGAAGTACTTGAGGTAAACAAGCCTCAGGACAGCACATAGATGAATAGAAATGATTTAAGTTATAAGACTTAGCTAAAAATGAGCCAAAGCTATCAGCTGAGCATTTATAATTGATATCAAGTCTCTGTGTGGTTATTTGGGGATAAGCCGGTGGGACAGGAAAGTCTGCCCTCAGAGGTCAGAGGACAACTTGTGGGAGTAGAGTAGGTTCTCTCCTATCATGTGGGCCCCAGGGATCAACTCAAGCATGTAAGCTTGGAGGCAGCACCTTTATCCACTGAGAAACCTCGCTGACCCTTGATCTTTAAAGGAACGCTTTTAACATTTAAGTGTAATGTTTATTATATGGGTTTTTGGGTAGTAATTTATATCAATTACCTATTACTGCAAGAGTGGCTATATCAAATCTCAGTGATGTAGTCAGGCAAGGTGATGCATATCTGTAATTATAATTACTTGGGAGGTAGAGGCAGGAGATCAGGAGTTCAAGGCCAGCCACAGTCACATAATGAGCTGGAAGCCAGCTTGACTTTTATGAGACTCAAAAACTTTTATGAGTTTCAAAAACTAAACCAGGCTCTGGAGAGTTGGCTTAGTGATTAAGAGCACTTGTTCTTGCAAAGGACCGGAGTTCAATTCCCAACACCCACATGGAGGTCAACCACCTCTTCAGGAACCAGGCATGCATGTGATACACAGACAGACATACAGACAAACACTAAATAATAAACTAAACTAAACAAACAAAACTTAAACCAATCGAAACAAAATACCCTTGTCCCAAACAGTGCCACAAGACAACAGCTAGTCTCACAAGTCTGTGGGTTGACTGAGGTGGGCTTTCTAAGGTAGGATTCATTAGAATCCACCTCCCTCCCGTTAACCTCCTAGACCAGCTTGAGCATGTTCTCATGGTGAGAGAGGGAAGGACAGGAACACAAGTCTATCTGTGGGAGCTTTCTTGATTGCAATTAAAGACGCCCAGAAGCTCACTAAAGTACATGGCTAGATGTGCAAGTGTGCATGTTTCCAGAGGTTAGAACCTGAGGGCGCTTTCCCCAACAGTGCTTTTAGTCCTGATAGATTCAAAAGTTGAGTTCGCCACTGGGAGGTGGTAGAACTGCGCAAGGTTGGGCCTGGTTGAAAGCACTAGCCAACTCCTTGATTGTTCTGACCCCTTCCTCTTAGCAGTACTGCTCTGGCTGAGCTGTCCACCTGATGTGGGCTGCTCCGCCCTACACTTCCTGCCATGATGGGCTGAGGTCTGTGAAATCATGAACAAAAGAAATTCTTCCTCTGTCATGTTGTTTCTGCCAGATATTTGGGGCAGGAAAAGTCTGTGTGCAGCTGCTTTTGGTATCTTTGGTTCACATCCTGCCTGCCCAAACTCCAGTGATCCAAGTTAAGTTCAAAGTAGGGACAGTATGTTCTAAAAAATTATATTTGAGGTAATTTTCTAATGTTAAACCAAACACTGTACTTATTTAAGTACAGTACTGTGCTATTTAGTAACTTCTTAGGGGATGTTCTAGAATTCCAATCATAGTCAAACTCTTGATGGGTAAACACAAAACCTTGTAAGTAGTCAAGTAACTCTGATGTACCTCGTATACCAACTATGTCCATGGATGTATATGCTCGTTAGTTTCATGTCAACTTGACATAAGCTAGAATCATCTGAGAGGAACTATGGGCAAACCTATAGGACATTTTCTTAATTAGTAATTGATGGGAAGAGCCCATCCTATCCCTAGGCTGGTGGTCCTGGGTTGTATAAGGCAACATGCTGAGCAAGCCAGGAGGAGCAAGCCACTGAGCAGCACCCCTCCATGGCCTCTGCAGCAGCTCCTGTCTCCAGGTTCCTGCCCTATTTTAGTTCTTGCCTTGGCTTCCCTCAGTGGTGTGTGGGTTCAGGATGTATAAACTGGACAAACCTCTTCCTCCCCATATTGCTTTGGTCATGGTACTTGATCACAGCAATAGTAACCCTAAGACAATGCTAATGGATGGCTTCTCAAGACAGAAACATTGCATGCTTACTTTTTGGGAAAAAAATTTTGATCCAGGGGTTTGCTGGGCAGTGGTGCCTCACACCTTTAATCCCAGCAGATTGGGAGGCAGAGGAGGTGGATCTCTTGAGTTCAAGGCCAGCTTGGTCTACAGAGCAAGTTCAGGGCAGCCAGGACTGTTACACAGAGAAACCCTGATAAATATCTGAAACAACTTATAATTATCTGAAGTTCCTGTGGGTTTGATTGTATTTTTGTTTCTGGCTAAAATTCTGGATATGGAAGCCCTTCAATGGTTCCTCTAACTTTACTGCTGGATAAATAAGCCATACGTGTTTGAATATATATTTCATTGTAACTGTCAAACAAATAACCAATGAATATTGATTAATGTGGATTTAAAGAACGTTATAAATGTAAAACAGGTAGTGATTGTACCATTATCTTTCTTTGATATGCCCAGATATCACTGTCCCTGTTCATTTTTTCTTTCTCTTTTTGGATACTGGGGATGAACCTGGGGTCTCATATATTCTAGGAAAGCACTCTACTCCTGAACTGTGTCTCTAGGCCACTTTTTACATTTTTCATTTTGAGGAAGGGTCTCACTTTGTAGGCCAGGCTAGCCTGATTCTTTTGACTTAACCTCCAGAGTAGCTGGGATAAGGAAACGACACCACTGATCCTGATAGTTTCTTCCACTTTGGACCACAGAGTTGCATCATTATCATTTTTGGAGTATGACACACTCTCATCATTGGCCCATGTTTTATTACAATGTATTATAATAAGCAATTGTGAAAATACTATTCCAAAGAAATAATTGAAATTTTGAAAGCAACACATCTATTTTGTCTCAAGTCATCTGAGTTAAGCATCTGAAACCTAAACTATCATTTTATCTTTTCTTTAAGACAGATCTTTGTTTGTTTTTGACACAGGGTTTCTCTGTGGCTTTGGAAGCTGTCCTGGAACTAGCTCTTATTGACCAGGTTGGTCTGGAACTCACAGAGATCCACCTGTCTCTGCTGGGACTAAAGGCGTGGGCCACCACCACCAGGCTTAAGACAGTTTTATTTTATCTATAGTATTTTTTTAGTAGCCCACCTAGGCTGACCTTGAACTTGCTACAAAGTTAAGGATGTTAAAGATAATCTTAAATTCCAATTCTCTTGTCTCTGTCTTGTAACCCTTGCAATTATGCCCTGGTGTCTATACTTTAAAAACAAACAAAACCCCTAACAAATACTGCATGTATTCTTTTTTGGAATTTAATCTTTTCACTTCTTGTTGCAATTTTTCAAAGGTCTTAATGCTTTTTTGGTGGTGAGTGATGGTTTCTTTCTGTGGCCCAGGGTGGTTCTGAATCATTGTCAATCCTTCCGTACTCTCCAGAGTGCTGGGATTACAGGTGTGAGCTGCCATGCCCTGCTTTTATTCATCCTTATAGAGATGCATGCTTGCCCAACATTGACTTACCAGTCAAGTGATGGACCTGGGATCCATGTGAAACTTAAGAGCAATTCCTGGACAGGATCAAGGGGAGGGCAGAGGGCTGGGATTGCAATTATGACCCAGTAGGTTGTGTGCAGTGGACAAGCTGCTGTTGCTGCTTTCCTAACTGGACTTACATTGTGTAGGTGGATGCCACACCCGCCGGCATTGATCAGTGGGTATGACAGCTCCCTTGAGCAGTTGTGTTATTGTGGTGACACTCAGTGGAGGGAGGCAGACGCTTGTCAGCTAACCCTTTCACCCCTTCCCTAGGTTAGAATGCTCTTCAAGGGTTTAGTATCATTCTTTACATGGATGGAACAATAAGGCTATCTCACCAACAAGAACACTCTCACATAAACTAAATCTAACCATCTAATGCTTTGTTTTTCATGTAGCCCAGGCTAACCTCAAATTCCCTAGACAGTTAAGGATGACTCTGACACCCCCATCCTCTTTCTTCTCTGGGCAGGTTTGTGGCCCATGCCTAAAACTACAACTCCGGAGGATCAGCAGTTCAAGGTCACCCTCAGCTAGCCTGGGCCACATGAGACAGTCTTTAGTCTCCCTGCCCCCTGAGAAAAGAACACCCTTGTCTTAATCCTCAGCTTCCAATTCTAACCTTTCCAGTTTTCGATTTCATACTTTCTCCTAAACTCTAACATCTGTGACTGTCCTTGAACTGCCTGGGATTTCCAGTCCTGCACTAGGAAAATAAATATCTGTATACATTAATCTGGGCACCAGAGTGGACAGTGTAAAGTGCCATCTGCAGTTGTGAATGAGGACATGGCTCAGTCTTATCCAAAAGCCCGTGGGGCCTCCATTAGTGCACCGTGCCATGCTCAGGGTCCTGAGCCAAGCCAGTCATAATGATGGATAGGTGATTCAGATTATAGCAGCTATCCACCAAATAACAATGATCCTGCTTAAAAGTTCTAGGACACCCTCCTCCACTCCCACACTCTCCCCTTTGGATGACTAAGTTCTCCTTGAAGCCCCTCTCTACAGAAACCCCAGCTCTTTCCACAGCCCCATCACTTCATCCAGGAAGTCTTCTGACAGAGCCTAGGGGTCTCAGGCCCTCTCCTCCCACCTAGTGGCTTTCCTGGGATGGAGTGAGGCAGCTGTGCTCCTCAGCCTCTGCCTTGCCCCTTGAGACAGACGGTGTTAGTCCCAGGGCAGACCAAGAAGTCTGCTCCAGCTGGGCTCCACCCTGTAGCTTCCTTCTCTACCCTCAGCCCCGCCCCCTTCCTCTGCCTCCAAAGCCCTGGACACGGTACACAAGGCCCAGAGTCCCTCCTGGAAGGGACATACAAGGAACTGTTTGTGTTCCCATGGCTGTGGTCAGCACCTTCATCCCAGGACTCAACCCTCAGAATCCTCATTATATTCCAGGGTAAGACTTCCTCCCGCAGTGCTTGCTCTCCTGCTTGCTCCGGGGAACACTTAGACACTGGGTCAAGTTGGTTTGAGAACAGCGGTCCCTGTGGCATTGTATGGAAAGGGAAAATGAGGATGGAATAGCTGGACCTAACAAAGCTTTGTGTTGTCGTCTCCGTGGAAACAGGGTAATAAAAAGCAGGGGGGAGGAATTGGAAACCAGAGGGGCTTAGGGACGCTTGCTGGGAGCTGGGGTAGTAGCTTCAGTGGTTTAATGCTTACTTAGCATGCACAAGGCTCTAGGCTCACTCTCTGGTAGGTAAAACAAAGAAATGAACAGAAGTGACCTACAGACTAAAGCTGGGGGTGAGGGGTGCCTGACCCCAGCAAGGGTGGGGTGCAGAAGGATCAAAAGGGTCGGCCAGCCTAAGCTACAGAGACCCTGTCTAAAAAGAAACACACACACAGGGAAATAAACACTTGCTCAAGTACATACCAAGAGCAGGGTTTTGCTGCCTCTGTGTCAGCATAGTAGTAGGGGGTCGGTCTTGGAGCTAAGGGTGGGGTCCTGTGCTTCAGGTACTCTGGACACTGCCCACTACTGCGGTTCAGCATGGGCCAGACCTATGGGCAGGTGACGGCTCAGCTACTTCAAGGCCCTCCTGGCCTAGCCTGGCCTCCTGCCCACCGCACACTTCTGCCTCCCATCCAGTCTCCAAGAGCTCGTGTGACTTCCAGGGGGAGGTTACCTCCCAGGCGCGGGCATGAAAGGCTCAGCTCCAGCATAATCCCTGGGTATACAGGTCTGTATGGAGGCCTGAATGGGTGTCCCCTTCCCAGAGAGCGTGTCCTGAACATTTATACGTCTTTCTCTCTGCTAGGTTTTATACCACAGGCACGGTTCATTTTTGCCAAGAACTGCAACCAGGTTTGGGCTGAAGCTATGAATGATTTCATACAAAGGCCTGGGCAGCAGGAGAGTCATGAACTGTCACAGGAGGTCAAGGGAGAAGAGGTGGGCAAAGAACAAGGGCTGGAGCCACAGGAGCCAGAGCTGAAGCAGGAGGTGGCCCAGGTGAGATGGGGAAGCCTGGTGGTGGGGGTGGGAGCTCGTGCTCAGGCCTGGGAGCACCATGGGGAACGCAGCTGTGGGTATTATACACCATGGGGCATGGCTGCCCGCTCTGTCTCCTGGGAGCCTGGACTTACAGGACTATTTTTTTTTCTCATCAATCTCTCTCACAAGGTTTCCCCCTACTCCATGGATGACACAGATCCCCAGAAGTTTTTCATGTCAGGTAAGAGGATGTGGGTGATGACCAAAGGCATGGGGAGATGCTCAGGGTGTCTTGACTCAGCATCTTCCCCATCCCCAGGCTTCACCGGCTATGTGCCCCGGGCCCGCTTCCTCTTTGGCTCCAGCTTCCCCGTACTCACCAACCAGGCACTGCAGGAATTTGGGCAGATGTGCTCACGGGACAGGGTGCAGAAGGATCCCAAACCTCTTTCCCCACTCCCCAGGCCCAACTTCCAGAGCCTGGGTCTCCTCCCTCACTATGGAGGCTATGTGCCAGGTGAGACCAGTCTGAGGCTTTGGGGTGGTTTCGGGAACTGGGATAAACAGACAAGGAGGCTGTCAGAGTCTGTGATCTAGCTTTAGAGAGGAAACCAAGGCAGCTCAGAGGGAGTTGGGAGCAGATTTCAGAGGGTGGTTTGGAGAGTATATGTAACTGGCCAGGAGGTAATGGCTTTTTCATGCCTCTGGCTACCAGTGACAGACTCTCTTGGCCACACAGGGTACAAGTTCCAGTTTGGTGGTACATTTGGGCATCTCACCCATGATGCTCTTGGCTTCAACACCACTCAGAAACAGCTGCTGGCATAAGTACCTGGATTTCAGGTTCTCCTTTTCATCCTATCCCAGTGGTCTTTTTGGAAGGTGGATGTGGGGGGAGGGGCACAACGAAAAAGGTTTGGAGGCTGAGCACCTTTTTATTAATAGGTGTAATAAATAAATAAATAAATAAATACATAAACAGAAGCCTGGGCTCTTCCTCCTACTCTGATGACCAGGCACTGGTCACTGCCTATTTACAGCATGGGGGGCTTAGGACTCTGGCCCCAATACTGTCATCCATCCTCATTGTCCCTCAGCCTAGTGAACCCACAAATGACATCTGGGCCACCTCCCTCCAAGAGACTTGTCTACACCCATGGAAGTATTGGCCCAGACGGGCCGGGAAAAGTCTTGGCAGCCCAGCACTGTGTCCCTTCCCTCCTTTTCTGGGTGGAGGTCTGGACAAAATCGCTGGGACAGCTGAGGAGGAGTAATGAATACTGAGCACAGGGAGCGGGTGCCAGCACAGGGATACCTGGCCCCCAGCTCTCAGTCTACTTTTTGTAGCCAAGCTACGGGCTCGGGACTCTCAAGCTCTGAGTCTCGCAGGGTATGAAGGTCCCTGAGGCCACCAGCATGCACAAGGCCTCAGTTTTGGCTGCTTCCAGGTGGTGAACTTGGAGTTGGGGTCAGTGTCACATAGGCCAGAGGTACCAAGCCAGTGTCCGGGCCACGGCTACAGCGCAGCCAGTCTCCTCCGGCTGGTCCCAGCACCCGCAGGATATCCCCTTTGTGGAAGCTGAGTTGTCCGGGGCCTGTGGCCAGATGGTGGCACAGCGCCTGCACCTCACTGAAGAAACAACACATGCGCATCAGAGAAGGCTTCTGGAACACCAGCCAAGCTCCCCAATACCTCATTCCGCTGGGCGTACCACGGGGGTTTGGAGGGCAGGGCCGGAGAGTGTGACTCTGGCAGGGTCTCCCTGGGCTCAGGCTCCCGACGGGCCCCCATCGTCTGTGCCACTAGCTGGAACACAGACCTGTCCAGGCTCAGCCAGTCTGAAGGCAGCCTAGGGGAGAGGAGACAGATTGGGTTCCACCGTGTCCAGATCTAGACCAGGCTGGCCGCAACACTGTCTACACCAGCAGTGGCTCTCACCTGTTTGTGGGCCGGACTTCCCGCTGAGCTTTTCGGGAACCAAAGAGGCGTCCCCACTTGATGCCCCCAGGCGCGGGCTCTGCCGTCCTTTCTTCATTTTCTGTTGGTGGAGCAACAGGTCCTTCCCTCTCTCGACTCCGCCTCAGCTCAGCTAGCACAGAGTCAGGGGGGCTCCCCATCCAGAAAGGCCAGGCCCTCTCTTGGCCAAGGGCCTCCTCAGGAGCAGGGCAAGCCTCAGCCCCCTCTACTACACCTTCCCTTGGTGGTGGAGCCTGGGAAGGGCCTCCACTGCCTACCCCTTTCTTCTTCTCACTGCCACTGCTGCTACTGCGAGGGAATCTAGAGCCCTCGGTAGTGCCGTCGATGTAGACCTGGGAGCTCTGCATGAGCTGGTACCACCAGCCAGCCTGACCTCCTCGGGCCCACCTGCCCTGCTCTGAGCTCCCCACAACCGCAGCCACCTCTCCCCTGTCTTCCTCATCCTCGTCTCCACCTTCTGAGGCACCCACACCCTTCACCCGCTCCCCGGGGGCCACCCTGTCCATGACTCCAGGGCCCTCCTGGCCCCGGGCTCTGGCCAACTGCAGCGTTGAGTGTGCAGACAGCAGCAGGTCCTGGGACACACGCAGCAGTTCCTTGTGCTGCTTCTGCTGCTGCCCACTCTGCAGCAGCCGGTGCTGGAACAGCAAGTCAAGGCTGAAGGGCAGCAGGGCCAGTGGCTGCAGCAGCAACAGCAGCTCCTCAAAGAGGCCCGGACACACGGTGTGAGCGGCACGCAGGAAGCCCCAGGGCTGGTAGTGGGTCTGGATGATATCTAGAGAAATAGAGAGGGACAGAGTCACACACAGCAGTGGGATCTGGCCTGAGAGGGACACTGAGAGGCCACCTGTGTCAGCCACTGCATGCATCTGCACAGGCTGACTCTGCTCCAGTTCACACAAAGCCTGCTACCGTGTGCAATGCATGCATCCTATCTATCACCCGAGGGGCGGCTCCGAAGTCAGAGAGATGCTGGGGTTCGCGGCCACCCTAACCGCTAGACCGCCAAAGTCTGCTGAAGCCTCCAAGTCTGGGTGGGCCCCCTCCCCGCCTCCTCCACTGAGTTGGTAAGCCAGAGCAGGCTGTGGGCATTACCTTCATGGTTATACAGGTGATTAAACCAGAACTCCAGGGACCGGATGCTGTAGGAAGATAGGTGAAAGGGTTAAGTGAAGACAGCCGGATAATGAGGTACAAAGAGACGGGTGCAGGGAGCAAATACAGATGGACCCCGGTGGCCAGGTGCTGCCTGCCTGGCTCACCTTGTAATGCAATTCTGGAAAGTCAGTGGGGATGTGAGGACTGGGGTGAACATAAAATTCACAAGTCAGTCGTGTCTTCTTGGAATGGAGGCAGCACACATAAGGTGATTACTGAGTGAGAGGACAGGCTGCTTCCCGCCAAAGGCAATGACCAGGCCGATATGTAGCAAATACCACTCTGAGGTGAGCCTAGGTCTGAAGCAGGACTTAGAAGCAGAGCTGGGGTTGAGAGGATCAGTTTGCAAGGCCAGGCCATGGGTTTGTGAAAGTGGATGAGCTGGTTGGTGGGAAGTGTCAAGAGGGCAGTGTCTGCAGAGAGGCTGCTGCTAGGCGGGGAGAGGGGCCCCAAGGCCTTGCACAAACCCTGCAGATCACCTGTCTCATTCCAGGCAACCAGGCCCTTAGGGGACACAGAGCTACGGCGGGGCTGGCTGCTTAAATCCTACCGTTCTACACACTTACTTGAGCAGGCCGAGGATGAAGGCGTTAAAGCGCATAGTGTGACTGGTGAGTTCTGGAAACTGGCTGACTTTGTTGTAGAGACCATGCAAGACCTTGGTGGACGGGCCTGGGGGAAGGGGGGGGGGGAGACAGGGTTGGAGGTTCCATTTCCTATCTCTGGAACCCGGAATTCAGTCTGGAGCCCAGTGTCACAATCTAGCACCTACCTAGCTGTGTGGAAGCCTCAACCACACTCCAAGGCATGTTTTTACGCTGTCCGATGATCACATCTAGTACGAAGGCCTTGAGCCCATCCTCCAGCACAGCTTGGACTGCAGGGCAGAGGTACTTCAGAACCAGGTGGCCTACGTTGGGGCTCACAGAACTGTTTCCCAGCTTTGCCTGCAGATGCACAGGACAACATGAGAGGCCCGGCCTTGTTGTCACTTAGGCAGCCCACAGGTCCCCTCTGGCCATTTCCACCCCCGAGTTCCAACTCTGGGCTCTGGATTCAAGAGAGCAGGGGAAGGTGGCAGAACACAAACAGCCGAGTGGGCAGGGCTTAGCTCAGCTCTTCACAAGCCTACCTTGACCCCAGGATCCCGGCTTGTCCCAAAATGGGCCACAATAAGGTCCACAGCAGTATTGACAGCTTTGACCAGCCCTATGAGGAAGAAGCTGATGTGACAGGTCCCGACTTGGAGACTCCAGCCCACCCAATGGAGGCTGACCCTTGGTAGGGAGGAGGAAGCTGTCACACTCACTCCTGTCCGTCTGTCCGTATCTCACTGTCCTTGCACTCACGGGTGGCTGCCCTCTCCAGAGGGCTTCCTCTCTCTAACCTTTGCATCTCTCTTGCTTCTCCTTTGTGAGCTCCTGCCCCTTTGCTCACACCTACGCTTGGTTATTTTACCAACGTCTCCCTAAAATTGCTCAAAGGTCACTGGCCATGAATCTGAATGGCATGTTTCTGTCAGTCCTTGTCTTCTCAGAGGTCACCAACATGCAGACCCAGGTGGCTATAACTTCAGCACTTAGGGACTGTTTTTGCTTGTTTGGATTTTTTGAGATGGTTTCACTATGTTACCCTGGCTGGCCTGAAACTCACAGAGACCCGCCTGCCACTGCCTCCCAAGTGCTGAGATTAAAGCTGTCTGCCACCACGCCCAGTACAGTGTTTTGTTTGTTTGTTCTGTGAGACAGGGTGTCTCTACATAGCCCTGGCTGTCCTGAACTCACTCTGGAGCCCAGGCTGGCCTCAAACTCAGAGATCCACCTCCCAACACGCCAGGCTCCCGTAAAATTTTTAAAAGAATTATGTAACAGGCTCTCTCATCGTACTTAACTGGCTAAGGGGAGGGGCTGAAGTCGGATTCTTAAGTTCCTGATACATGACCCTTGCTCACTATACACCATACAAACTTCTACCTCTTGCCCTAATGCTCATTTTCCTTATTGGTACTGGGGTTCAAGACAGATGCTCTGGAGGGTTATTAGCTAGGTCACCAGGCACCACAGGCAGTGACGGCAGAGCCCTGGCCCAGGCTGGGTGTCAACACACACCTTTTTTCTGAAGTACATCAATGGAAATGGCCTCCGAGGTGCCATCTGGAGACAGACAAAACTCAGCTGGAGGCTTCTCAGCTAGGGAGAAGGGGTCCTGCAGGTCAGGGCAGGTCAGTGGCAACGGTTTTGCTACCTGGCCTGGAAAGAAAAGCAAAGCCTTACTCCAAAGCTCTTCCCAAGAATTCTTAGCTCAGCCGAGTGCCCTCCACCCTCACAGACTAACCAACCCCTTCTCAGCCCTTCCCAGCCTGCCCAGGGTATACCAGGGACCGTGGCCACACACCGTTCAGCCGGTAATTCAGATGGTTGGCGGTGCCAAAAGAACCAGGGAACTCAAAGATGGGGTTCCTATGGGCCAGCCGAGCTTCCTGTGGCCTTCGATCTAGGCTTCCTGACAAGCCGGGTGGCCCTAATGGGTTCTTCCTCCTGTATTCCCGCCACTTGAGGGCTTGAGGGGACAGGTGATTGGCTGGGGGCAGAACAGGTGAGAGGGATGTTAGGAGACAGCATTTCACACCTGCCCAGGGGTCCGGATAAAATGCCAGGGTTGGGAACATGAAGCAAATACACCAGATGCTGTGGGTGTGACCACTGCTGAACGAATAGGAAAACATTCAAAGGACAGGTAGGATTGCTTGGGCTATGGATGAAGCTCATACCATTGTTGGGC